CCTTAGAAAACTACTCTTACACCAAAGAAACAGGCAAGAACGTCAAAGAGTTTCAGTGAGACAGATGCCAAACAAAAAGAGCCGAGTGTCTAAACTGGGGCCAGGGAAATATGACCACTCCACTTCTTAATTTAGAAATCTAAATCCTCTCTGGAACTCTGATCGGTTATATAGAAATAACCCTGACGTGATAGGAAAAGTCCACAGTTTTCATCTACCAACCCAGAAAAATTCAGTCTGATGTTTTGAAGTGGCATCTATCCAAGAAAAAAAAAAAAAAAAAAAACCCAAAAAAAAAAAAAACACAAAACCTAAAGGCACTGATTACTGACTCAGTGAAGCCCATGGAAGGTGACTTGGACTCTGGTTAGAGCTGCCTCAGGTTCCACATGAAGGAACTGGTATCGACGCGGCGTTATTTTTCTGCCCTCAGTACAAATGCCATGCAGATCAGCCCCGATGCCCTGTCTACAGACCTCATCTTTCCCTTTTTTTAGGTTCGCTACAGGGTGTGTGTGCTCACTGTGGAGAGACCGAGAGAGGGAAAGTGAGAAATCACCCCTTAGTGGAAATGGCCATACCACAGTCCCTTCTCCTTCATTCCCGTCTCAGGATTCTGGGCACACATGCACATATACTAGGCATGATTCTCAAGCTGCGGGGTCTGGGACTGGAAACATGTGGGAATCGGGCCCCTTAACCACCATACTACCTTCTGACCCCTTAAAAATAATACACACACACACACACATATATACACACATATATTTAATCCTCCATTCTTTTCAGGCTTACAATTACAATCCCATAAGGGTTTCCACTATATAATTATGAAAAACATGGTCTAATCTTACCTAAGTGTAACATGAAATCTTGGGGCTATTAACAGATTTTTAAAGTAAGTTCATCTTCATTTTCATTCTCTCTCCCCTGCACTGCGTGCTGGAGTAAAGACCCCAGTAACTGCTTTCTTTTCAGAATGACCTTGCTGGAGTTGAACTGTTCTAAGTGACACGTAAGAGAGGAGCACACGTATAGCAAACAGGGATGATAATGGGGGCTCTCGAAGAGATACAGAACCTGACATGACCTCCAAGGAGGTAACTCTCTCCACATCTTCCTTATCACACTAAACCTATAGCCTCAATTCTGAGAGTCACACTACTACAGCAATCAGGCATAAGCTTTGTTACCTTTTCCTTCTAAGAGACATTTCTGCCACACACCTCCTGTTCAGGGACAAGAACTACAAATGTGATTAAAATGACCCATTAGATTACTGCCTCATTTATTCACACATTTCTCTGCGACTTACAGTAAAAGGAACCAATTTGAAGCTAAATTTTTCTTTGAAAAGGAAACACTATTCTACAAGGATTTGTAACATTGAATCTTGAAAAAGATAAGCAGCAAAAATTCTGACTACTCTTTTATTCACGAGAGAAGTTACTGGCTGTGTGTTCAATATTCTTGTGTCTTCCTTGTTTCAGTAAGAAGGCTGCCTGCTTTTCTGCAAAGGGTCTCTGTTTATATCTAGTTCTTAGCCAAATCGGACAGCCTCCGGGAGAGCTGCTGATATTGAAATTTGGTTGGCCAAAGGCTTCCAGCTCAGAAGGGGTATACTCCTAAGAGTGTGGAAGAACTTTTTTTTCCTTCTTCCTTTTTTTTTTTTTTTTTTTTACAAACACCCTGGTTTCCTACCAATCAAACCTCTCTTCTCACTGCAGATTTTCTTTAAACTATGCTCTACATTTTCCTTCCCTAGACCAGCTGGATCCTTTTCTAAATAAATAGATCCCTGTGCAAGACACTGCAGAGCTGAGGATTTCTTCCAAAGGGAGGGAGGAGTCCTGCTGCCTCTCTTCACACAGTCTGGTTGAGCTCCAGGCATGGCAGCAATGTACAAGATGAGATGACTTTGCAGAAAATTAACACTACAACTTGCAACTAGGATAAGACCTCTTTTTCCGTGTCAATTGCTGGGAAAGCCAGCAGGCACAGACTCACTGGAGAAGACAGGGGACTGGACAGGATGTGGCAGTGTAAACAAAGGGAAGAAGCCACCAAAGAACCTATAGCGAACACCTCTCAAAAAAAAAAAAAAAAGAAAGAAAAAGAAAGAACAGAACTATGGAGTATAAGCAAAACATTTTTTGATATGTAAAGTAAATGTGTGTGCAAAAATGTAAAAATAAATAAAAGAAAAACATCATAAATAAAATTAAATAAAATAATCCAAAAAAAGGAAGGAAAAAAAAGTACCCTTCTGCTGGGGGCCATGGACAGTGGGAGACTTTGTATGTGCGGGGACAAAGGGTGTATGAGAAATCTCTGTACTTTCTGCCAAGTTTTGCCATGAACCTAAAACTGTACTAAAAAATAAGTCTATATGTCATTTATATGTGTGTGTGTGTATATATATATATATATATAAATATGAGTGTGTATACAACTATGCACTTCATGGGACTTCAAAAAGTTTGTGGAAAAACTGAATTACAGTAGATTTATTTTGGTGGGAAAAAACTTAAAATCCATACATAATTCTTCATAATATGCATCTCCCATAAACTCTTTGAAGACTTATCCTAAATAAATGACTGGAATGCAATATTATAGAAAATAATACTGATTTCTGTCTTCATGATAATTAAATGTGATTATTGTCTTCTAAAATTTTCTATAATGAACTTGAACTATTTTTGTAATTAAAAAAACCCTCGAGACAGGAAGAATATGCCTGACAATCATGAAATCACAGGATCTACTGGTAAAAATACTCAAATCCATTTGTAGTTCATTAGGGAAATGTAATTGTGAGAGAATTAGATTGTTCTTTCTGCTTAGTGCACTATTAAAATTTGCTTGTATGTCCTAAAATATGTCATGTGAAGAGGGAGTCAGAAGGAGGTAGCTCTTAGGGGGTGACATCAGAGACATAAAGAAGTATGACTAAAATAGGCTGAGTAGTCAGAAGTGGGCTATATTTGATATTTGTTAAGTCTACAGCGTTTTAGGTGTTAAAATCCAGGCTTATTGGGAAAGTGACTTGTACGTTTGCAGCTTTGGTCACTTTCTAATATGAGCTCTTTTGGCCACACGCATTTACCCTTCATAAAAACGAGGTCACATGGTGACACTTGGGGGCTTATTTCAATGAGTGACTCATAAGTTGTCTATAGATAACACAAGGATTCTTGCCAACAGCACGAGAGCGGGATATATTTGAGCCCTCATGGAGGTACGTGGGAGACAATGAAGACAGGTACCTCACTAATGGAAAGGTCTGTGACAGTTTAGCAGTAGGCCCTCATCCAGAAATGGCAACACATATTAGTTAAGCTAAAAGAATGGAAAAGACGTCCCCCCCAACCTCATAGCTTTTCATGAGTAATTTCATAGCTATATTCCACCATGAATCACTCTTGAGTGTCAACAAGTTTCAGAGAACGAACCTTCAACGACAAAATGTCTGACTGCCTAGTGACATAAACTCGTGAACATTCAGGATGAGGTGATCTACCCATAGTTTAGTCAGTTCCTGTGCATTTACTCCTCTCATTTCCCAGCTTCTCATTTCTGTGGTTCACCAGTGTCTTCACCAGAGAAAGAAAGTGAAATTCAAACCAACTGATTTAGTTTCTTGTTAGTATTTTTGGCCAAAGAGTGTGGGGAGCAGAAAGAAAACGGAGGTTTTGGTATATCCCAGTGATGTTAATTATCCTAGGTAACCTTGTTCTCTCTATTGTGTACAGATACAAACTAGAATTCTTCAACAATTATTTAATTTTAAAATTTTAAAAAATTAGAAAGGGTCTTGCTATGTCATGGCTCTTCTGCCTCAGCTTTCTGAGTAGCTTGGACTACAGGCTTCTACATATGTCACGGTGCTTGGCTTTTAGGATGAGCTGGGAATTCAACGTGGGTCTCACATGTGGCTTTGGCCTGACAAGCTGCAGCACCAACTAACGTGTGCTCATAGCTGGGCCAACATTTGAGAGGAAAATGGACTTTAGAATTTTAGAAACTTTCCTAAAACGTCTGTTAGAGAGGTCTCTCTGGGCTATTACTGAATGTTCAGGAACCATGAAGAACAATCTTTAGTCGCTGATTTTTTTGGTCATCATAAAAATATCTGGGCGACTCAAAATGTACCTACGAGGTATACGACGTTTAAAATGCCAACTGATTCCAGTTAAAAGTGTTCCTGCCTGCTTGGCTCAGATGTATCATCAGACCTTAGACACGTCTGGCAGAGTGGCCTTACAAGGACTGCCTGTTTGGATATACTGTGTAAAGGTACTGTGGACTAGTGTGCTCTTCACACTAGTATGACAAAGGACAGATGAAATACTTAACAACTTAGGGGAAGAAAAGCCTGATTTGTGGCCTTTGCCAATTTCCTAGGTGTAAATAATCCCATCATAGTCGATTTTAATCTACCAGTGTGATGGTGTTAAAGGTACTATGGACTAGTGTGCTCTTCACTTGGAGTATGACAAAGGACAGATGAAATACTTAACAACTTAGGGGAAGAAAAGCCTGATTTGTGGCCTTTGCCAATTTCCTAGGTGTAAATAATCCCATCATAGTCGATTTTAATCTACCAGTGTGATGGTGTTGAATAAAGAATTGGGAAGAGATAAATAGTGGCACACCATACATGAAGGCAAAGTCTTCGACAAGTTCATGGAAAGCGATTACTATGAAAAAAACTATGCACAGGTTTCATTTTTTATTTTTTTGCATCTAACTAAATGCATCCTTAAATTGCATTCTTCCTGTAAGCTTTTTGAAGTCTCCACATATAATGTTCCCACCACAATATATAGTCTCAATAGCCCAGATCATATTAAAATATATAAAATAATGAGGGGAGATTTGAGTATATTACCTTTGTTATTAACGTAATTATATTTTATTTAAAGACAATAAACATAATGAATGCCCTCCCCGCTATGAGTCTTTATTACACCACTTGGAGTGGCCCTTATACTTACCAGGAACACATGCTCAAATATCTGTGTAGGACTATCCATCTGACCAAGGATCACTATCATTTCATTATCTATAAATTCCTTGAATTCCCGCAAGTTGCACACCATCTGCATTTCCAACTCTGTTCGTATCTGAAACAGAGAAGACATATTGGACAAACTTCGATGAAAAGTCCCTTTATATTTTCAGCCATGTACCTTTTCTAGTCCCACTTCTGTTTTTTTTTTTGGAGAGGTTTTTGCTATAGGGCACTCTCCAGAAAGCCAGCGACAGAAAGCGAGAAATCACCCCCAGGGGGGATGGTCACACCACAATCCTTTCTCCTCCATTCTCCTCTCGGGATCTTGGGCATGCATGCACACGTGCCCGGCGTGAGTTTAAGCCACCGGGTCCAGGACTCGAACCGTGGTCGACTACATGGGAGTCCAGCGACATAGCCATTATGCCAACTGCTGGTCTCTCCCACTCCTGTTCTTATCCCACTCCTTACCTAGGAACAACGAGAGCCACAAGTCTCTTACCTCTTTGGATGTGATGTTCTCTAAATCCTTCTGCATCATTATCTCCCTTAATTTGGTTTTAATTAATCTTTCTGTTCGCTCACGTTCAGTTGGTCTGAGAAGAGAGAAACGGTAATTTTTTCCTCAAGCAGAAATTTGACCAAGTTAATTAATATACCATTTGATTATGTTTTCAAATTGGCAAGGCTTGCCTTTCTTATCCTCAAATTTATGTTGTGAAGGTACTATAAAAGAAAGTTATGTTTTTTTTTTTTTTGAGAGGTTTTTGCTATGGGATGTGAAGAGAGAGAGAAAGAGAGAGAGAGAGAGAGAGAGAGAGACAGAAAGCGAGAAATCACCCCCTGGGGGGGCGGTGACCAAACCACAATCCCTTCTCCTCCATTCTCCTCTTGCGATCTTGGGCATGCATGCACACGTGCCCAGTGTGAGTTTAAGCCACTGGGTCCGGGACTCGAACCACAGTTGACTACATGGGAGTGCAGCGACATAACCATTACATCATCTACTGGTCCCAGAAAGTTATGTTTTTAAAAGTTTCTTTTCAGGGACTGGCTCTGTGGCTTGGTGCTTAAGGCAGCTGAATCCCACAGGGCTGATTACCTGGTTTGAGTCCTGAACCGGAGGCTTAAGAAGTGGGCTGGGGGCCAGCAGGTGGCTTGGTGGTTAAGGGTGATGGACTCCCACATGGCCAACCACAGTTCAAGTCCCGGACCTGGTGGCTTTTTCTCCCCTGCCCCCCAGTCAAATTGAAATAAATGAATGAATAAAAATAAAGTTAAATAAAATAATTAAAAAAAAAAAAAGAAAGAAACACAAGTGGGCCCAGCAGATGGCATAATGGTTATGTTGCTGGACTCCCATATAGTCAATTGTGGTTTGAGTCCCAGACTCAGCAGCTTAAAACTCACTCTTGGCATGCGTGTGTGCATCAACTAGTTCAAGCACTTCCACTCAAAATGCTTTCCTTTTCCTGACAACTCTTGCAATATCTCTGTGAAATGATTAGCCTCATTTGACAGATGAAGAAACAAACTGCCAAAGAGTTGAAAGTCATGCTGACGACCACACAATAGCCAGAGTATCAGCCTCGCCTAACTAACGGTCTACCTGCAAGATTATTTTGCCCCCCTTTAGTCTTCTGATTCTTAAAGATAAAATTACCCTAAAATCAAACTAGGTAGCTGACTCTCCAATTACTAGAAGTTCAATAACTGACGCTTCTCTCTAAAAGCATGATTTCACATTATGCAGAATTTGAGTGAGGCTGATAGAGAGCCGTTCCTGTCTCATCTTTCCCCCCTACCTTCTCAAGAAAGGTATCCACACTACACCTCCTTATTTGGAGATGGAAAGAGACTAAGCCTTCAGGCATCCTGCCTGCCCTTGCTGCCTACAGCCTTATCTGGCTGCAAAAATAGCTTCGGTAATCTCCAAAGATGGCTGCTCTGACCACACAACCTTGGGGTGTCCCACTACTTGGGCTCTTAGTTTCTCATTAACGCTGCAGAATACAGCTACTATCTGTGCCATTTCCCTGCTGGTCACTCGAGGCATCCCTGTCTTGATAGGATTAAGATTCTTACCCATGCATGATTTTTCCTAGACACAGCAAATGGTAGAAAGTAAATGGATAACTTCAACTTCCCATTAAAAAGAAATATTGAGAAAAAAATTAGCACCTCTTTATGTGTTAGGTTCCCTAGTTCAGCAATCTTTCCCCTAATCCTTCATACTTGTTTGAGTTAGAATGATTTGAGAGCAGAGAAACATCTCAGTTCCAGCTCTGCTATTGACTGTTGGTATGATATGGAACAAATTCTTCCTCTTCTCTGAGCCTGTGTCCTCTTCTATAAAACGGTGACAGTAGTAATACCTGTCTCATGAGATTCTTATGAGGATTGAATGAAATACTATAAAGTGCCAGGTACAGCACTTGAGAGACAACGGGGGCACCAGACATCCTTCTTCTCTCATGTACGTCCTTCTTCTCTCCCTTCCTTGGATTTCAGAGTATAGACGGTTCATAGCAGAGCACTTGAGTCTATTTTGGCACACGTTCTCCCTGTATCCTCAGCATTTTTTACAGGCTTTTCTAGTCAAGTTAGAGAGAAGTGAATGGAAAAATTTTTATAACATACCAACCTACTGAAGGAAAATTTGGAAAATACATAAAAAATACAGAGAAAATTAAAACCACTGGAAATCTTTCTATCCAGAGATAACCATTACACTCTGGCCTATAGCATCCAGATATTCTTTTCCTATGAACAGACAGATATTTGCTTACTAAATACATCTTTTTTAAAAAAATTATTATTTTACTTAACTGTATTTATTTTAACTTGACCAGAGAGGGACAGAGTGAGAGAGAGAAAGAGAGAGAGAGAAAGCAAGCTGTCAGGTCCGGTACTCGAACTGTGGTTGGCCATGTAGGAGTCCAGCACCCTTAACTACCATGCCACCTGCTGGCCCCACTTAATACATCTTAAAATGTAGTTTTAGGGGCAAGTGGCATGGTGGTTAGGGCACTGGACTCTCACGTGGTCGACTGAGGTTCAAGTCCCAGACCCAGCAGCTTGAAACTCACACTGAGTGAATATGTGTGCATGCCCCAAATCCCCAGAGAACAATGGAGGAGAAGGGACTGAAGTGCGTTCATCTCCCCCCCACCCCACCAAGGGGTTATTTCTTGCTTTCTGTCTGTCTCTCCAGCACATAAGCACCGTATACCAAAAATCTCTCAAAAAATTGAAAAAAAAATGGAGTTTTTATCATACACAGTGAAAACTAACATTTAATAAGCTCCTACTATGTGCCAGGAACTACCTTCAATATTTTTTTTCATTTAAGAAAATACAAAGAAAGATCATGAGCAATTTCATTTACCATGTTTGCTATAGTTTCCAAATCTTTGTAATACCAGAAAAAAATGGAGAGAAGAGTTTTCTTGGGGGCCAGCAGGTGGCGTGGTGGTTAAGGTGCTGGACTCCCATATGGCTGACTGTGATTCAAGTCCTGGACCTAGTGGCTTGGAAACTGAGCCGGGCGTTTGTGCATGCGTGCCCAGAGTCCCTAGAGAAGAATGGAAAAGAGACTGCAGCGTTTGTCATTCCCTCTGGCGGGGTAGCTGACTGCTCACTTTCCCTCTCGATGTCTCTCTCTGGTGAGTAGACATGCCCTATGGCAAAAACCTAAAAATAAATAAATAAATAAAAAAGAAGAATATGCTTTTGTGAGCAAGATGAGACTTCTATTCCTCTGAAACTCATCAATAGCAAGGCATAAAATTACAAATAACATTTCACACAAATCTGTATCTTTTTGATTACTGCGGGATCTTGAAAGGACTAGGGCTACTGCAAAGAAAGGTGTAACATCTTGTGCAAAAAAAGCCTATTTTGATTGCTCTTTTCACAATGCTTGATTGCCTTCTCTAACAAAAAGTATTTATTATACTATTATCTGAATTAAGCTTTTAAATTTTTTTAACTTGCCAGAGGGCACATGCACTCATCAGTGAGAGAGTGAGAGAGTAAGAGAGCAAGAGAGAGAGAGAGAGAGAGAGAGCGAGAGCACACGACCTCATTGGAGTGTGGCAACACTGCAATCACTTCCCCACTTCTCCATCTTGCTGAGATCTGGGGCATGCAGCACACATATCTGGTGTGTTTTTCAAGGTGCCAGGGTCATGATTCAAACCATGCAGTTGGCCATGTGGGATCTGGATCCCTTAACCACTAGGCCATGGGGATGGCCTAAATTAACAGAAAGTATTTATTATACTATTATGATTTTTTTTAAATCATAAACTGTTTTGGCATGACTTTAGAAATCTGAAGGCTAATCCTGTTTTTTTTTTTTTTTTTGGAGAGGTTTTCGCTATAGGGCGTGTGCGCTCGCCAGACAGACAGAGAGAGACAGAAAGCGAGAAATCACCCCCCGGGGGGATGGTCACGCCGCAATCCCTTCTCCTCCATTCTCCTCTCGGAATCTTGGGCATGCACGTACACGCGCCCGGCGTGAGATTTAAGCCACCAGGTCCGAGACGCGAACCGCAGTCGACTACGTGGGAGTCCAGCGACATAGCCTTTACGCTAACTGCTGGTTCCCAAGGCTAATCCTGTTTTGGAGTTCAGATAGAAGCTGCTCTCCTTTCCCAGCCATAGAACATTTTGGAAGTGTAGAAAGATCAATTCAGAGCAAAATAAACATCTTGATTAATTTCCAAAGCAGGAACTAAGTATAAAAAAAAATTTCCAAAATAGTCACAGAAGTTTCAACATAAACCTAAAAAGGAAATAAACATCAACCCCACCTTAGGCCTTTATCCAACTCATAGTATACTACAGGGATTTAATGAGATTTTACTGACAAGGACTTAACACAGTAAAGGTTGGATGGGGGCTCAGAAAGGCACTTGAATGATAAAATATTAAAAAAAAATCTGAACAGAAATCAGTTTGCTTAACAAATAAGGCATTCTTTTACATTAACTGGAAATATCTTTTTTTTTTTTTTTTTTTTTTGTTTTTGAGAGGTTTTTGCTATAGGGCGCGTACGCTCGCCAGACAGAGACAGAAAGCGAGAAATTACCCCTCAGCGGGGATGGTCATGCTGCAATCCCTTCTCCTCCATTCTCCTCTCGGGATCTTGGGCACGAACGCACATGCGCCCAGCATGAGTTTTAAGCCACCGGGTCCGGGACGCAAACCACGGTCGACTACGTGGGAGTCCAGCGACATAGCCATTATGCTAACTGCTGGTTCCCTAAAAAATTTTTTTATGTCATGAATTTGTTTACCACATGCTTCTTTCACAGTCCAATTCTTTTTTTTTTTTTAATAATTATTTATTTTATTATTTATTTAATTTACTTTTTAATTTGACCAGAGAGAGATAGAGGGTGAGAGTGTGAGAGAGAGGGAAGTGAGAAAGCAAGCCACCAGATTCAGGACTCGAACCCTGGTCGGCCATGTGGGGGTGGTCCAGCGCCTTAACCACAATGCCACCTGCTGGCCCCCACAGTCTAATTCTTTTTAAAAACTCAGATTCCAAATGAATGGCAATCTGAAGAAAGTGACTGCAGTTCTTGATCCACAGAGGAGTGGAATGTCTCAGGATTTTGCAAGAAACAGAAAAAATAGGTTTTTCAAATGAGGCAGCTGTATGGTGTAGACAGTGACTAAGATCACTGGGTAAGATGAACCCCCTAAGAGAAGCGATGTGGGAGAAATGTGCTGCCTATGACCCCCCAGGGCACAACAGGAAGGACCTCTACAGTCCTCAGCAGATTAACTTACATGTCTGTGAAGAGGGCTGGAGAGTCCGGCCGGTGGGACTGCACGTCCTGCATAGCATTCCACTCATTGACTGAAGATTGGTCTGAGTTGATATGGCTCTCATAATAACTCACCCAGGTGAGAAACAGGCTGCCTGGGTAGTAGTTATGCACTCTGGCCACTTCGCAGGCCTTGTGTAAACTCTGCAGCGCAGACCTGAAAGACATGATAGGAAATGAGCACTGCAGAGCTGTGGGGTACCAGTCAGTCAGTAATCCAGGTGTGCTCAAACTCCTCTAGTGTAAAATTCTATAGAATTTGGCCTTGTGAGGGCCAGTCCTAAAGAACAGAGGTTAAGTGCTATGCAGAGGGAGCTGGATCCCCTAAGGGCAACCATGGTCCAAATCCAGGTCTACCATCTTGGTTTTGAATGTAGCAGTGATATGGAAAATGTTAGTTTCAGCTGTAATTATCTCAAGTAGGCTGTTAGCAGCTCTGGCTATAAATAGTTTCTAGTGACTATTTTTTTTTTTTTAGAATTATTTAACTTTGTTTATCTATTTACTTATTTTTTAATTTGACCAGAGAAGGAGAGAGAGAGAGGTAAAATGAGAAAGCAAGCTGCCAGGTCTGGGACTCAAACCGTGGTCGGTCATGTGGGAGTCCAGTGCCCCTAACCACCACACCACCTGTAGGCCCTTCTAGTGATTAATTTTGAGTGAAAGCAGTGAATGATTCTAATACAAGTTTGACCAGAGTGACTCTTATTTTGTAAGGAGGCTCCATCGCATAGCTGTATATCCTAACTATATGTGTGTACCTATCTCTTACTTCAGTGGCTTGAAAAAACATACCAGAGGGGACCAGCAGGTGGCATGGTGGTTAAGGCGCTGGACACTCCCACATGGCCAACCACAGTTTGAGTCCCGAACCTGGTGGCTTGCTTTCTCACTTTCTCTCTCTCTCTCACGTTCTGTGTCTATCTCTGGTCAAATTAAATGAATGAATGAATAAATAAAGTTAGATAATTCTTTAAAAAAAAAAACATACCAGACACATGCCTTGTGCCTAGAATTCTGATGAAATGGAGAAAGAGAGGGAAAAAAAGACTGTGGTGTGACCAGGCTCTGTTGGAAGGTGCCCTCTCTTTCACATATGCACATAGTGGTACTCTAGCATTAAAAAAAATGGCCTCTTGAGATTCTACTCCCTTGAATCCAAGATTCTCCAATTCCAATTACATCATACTATTTCTCCACAGCTATAAGCTAGACGTTTGCCAAAAAATATGATGCATAATCAAGTTAGAGGTGGAGAGGGGAGGAGACCTGGTAACTCACCAGTGAAAACTAGGTCTGGGCAACCTCCTGAGCTCTACTGGGAACCATGCTGGGGCTGTGTTGTGTCACTAGAAAACTGAAGGTCTCAACAATCTACCATACAGAGATTTCTTTGCACTGGCATGGAATTATGTTACGGCATACGTCCTCTGATTGTTAGAGGCTCCACGAAGATCACACAGACAGACAGATGTCCATGGGCCAGTTCTGTGGCCTGGTGGTTAAGGCAGCCAGATTCCACATGACCAACCACGTGGTTTGAGTCCCAGATGCACCTGCTTGAGAAACAAGCCAGGTGTGTGTGTGTGTGTGTGTGTGTGTGTGTGTGTATGCATGCACCCCAAACCCCAAAAAGTGGGAGAGATGGAAGAGAAGAGTCTGCAGCATAATCACTCCCCATCGCGGGCTGGCTCTTTCTCTCCTCTCTCTGGAGAATGCACGCACACACTAGCAAAAGAAAAAAAAAATAAAGATGTCTCTAAGTCTTGAGGACATTTTTATAATATCCAGAAAGTACTGATCTAACAACTTGTATCACTCTCGCTGCCTTAATCTTTTACTAATCTCTATAAGCATTTATTCATACATGAGCTCTTTTCTAAGAGACTTAAATATTCTGGCTCTAAACCTAGAAAACTTTAAGAGTAAATAAAACTAAAAAGTACCTTTTTGGTTACATCCTTGAGAAAAGCTTAAGTCAGAAATGCTAAGAACTTACAAGAGTCAGAAAGAATCTTCCTGTTTTGGGGGCCAGCAGGTGATGTGGTGGTTAAGGGTGCTGGACTCCCACATGGCCAGCCACAGCTCGAATCCCAGACCTGGCAGCTTGCTTTCTCACTTTCTCCCTCTTTCTATCACTTTGTCCTTTGGCCAAATTTAAATTAAAAAAAAAAAATTCTTAAAAAAAAAAAGGACCTTTCTGTTTTGTTTATTGATGTAGCTGAAGTGCCTAAAAGAATGCCTAGTTCTTAGTAAAAGCTCAATTAATATTTATTAAATGGTATGTCTTATTATCTGAACTAATTTCTCTGTCTAAAGGAAGACTATGAGAGAATTCTGTGATTAATCCATTCACATCATCTTCATAAAAATGCCCTTTTTTGGGGACAGCAGGTGGGGTGGTGGCTAAGGTATTGAACTCCCATATTGTTGACCACAGTTTGAGTCCTGGACCTGGTGGCTTGCTTTCTCACTTCCCCCTCTCTCTTTCAGTCTCTCTCTGGTCACCTTAAAAAATAAAAATAATAAAATTGAAAAATTCTTCAGAAAAATAAATAAATAAAACAAAACTAATTTTTTGAAAGGTTCCTTTTTGGGGGAGGTTTGGAAGAAGTTCCAGCCAGTGGTGTGGTGGTCAAAGTGGCTGGATTCCACAGGCCGACTGTGTGGTTTGAGTCCCAGACTTGGTGGCTTGAAAAATACACTGGGCATGTGCAGGTGTGTGCCCAAAATCCCAAAAGAAGAATGGAGGAGAAAGGACTACAGTGTAGCCATCTTCCTTTGGGCAAGGGAGTACTCACTTTCTCTTTCTGTCTCTCTGGCAAGCACACACCCAATAGCAAATATTAAAATAAAACAAAATAAAGTCTTTTTATTTATTGGTTCGTCAGAAAAGTCATGATATATTTTTCTTGCAAAAATGTATAACAAAAGTAACCCAGAAGTAACAACTTCACAACAAAAGTAACCCATAAGCACTTTAGAAACTTTTAGGAAGGCCGGAAGGTGGTGTGGTGGTTAAGGGCGCTAGACTCCCACATGGCCGACTACGGTTCAAGTCTTGGACCTGGTAGCTTGCTTTCTCACTTTCTCTCACTCTGACCCTCTCTGGTCAAATTAAAATAAAAAAATAAATAAAGTTAAATAAAAAAATTCTTTAAATAAAAAAAGAAAACTTTTACGTAATTCATATAAAAGTCAGAAATAGGGACAAGAAGATGGTTTGGTGGTTAAGGTACTGGACTCCCACACGGCCAACTGTGGTTCAAGTTTGGACCAGGTAGCTTCAAACTCATGCTGGGTGCACCTGTGTACATTCCCCAAATCCCAGGAGAAGAATAGAGAAGGGATTGCAGTGTGGCCATCCCTGTGGAGGGTCATTTATCACTATCTCTGTCTCTACAGTGAATGCATACACTCTGTGGGGGAAAAAAGGCAGAAATGTTACCCAGAAATAACCAGTTAAGGTTTTAGTGTAGATTTGTGAAGTCTTTTTGTCTATGCATAGATTTGTAATAAACAAAGACATGACCATAGTCTACCATACCACTTATAACTTGCTTCTAGTCTACAACCTGTCATTGGTATCTTTCCATGTCAGTACATATTTTTCTTTTTTTAACTGCCAGAGGGTACGTGCACTTGCCAGCGAGGGATGGGAGACAGCACCCTCAATGGGGCGGTCATGCCACTGTCTCCTGATCTCCATTTCTCCATTCTGTAGGAACTTAGGAACTTACATGTGGCTGGCATGTTATTCAAAACCACTAGAGCCAGGATTTGAACCATGGTTGGCTGTGTGGGATCTGGCTCCCTTAACCACTAGGCTATGGGTCCAGCCGGACAAATATTTTAACTAGACCATGTTTAATGTCTGCATAATATTTTAAAAAAAACAGATGCATCATAATTTAAATTGTTATTACTCTCGTTTAAATTGTTTCCCATTTTTTTGGCTAATGTTAAAGCACTGACAAACATTTTCCTAAAGAATTATTTATTTAATTTTATCATTATTACTATTTTAAAAAATTTGCTAAGGGGAATGTGCATTCACCAGAGAAAGGCAAAGAGAGAGAAAAAAAGTGAGAGGGAAAGTGAGAAAGTAAGCTACCAGGTCCAGAACTCAAACCAGGGTTGACCATGGGGGAGTCCAGCACCTTAACTACCATGCCACCCGCTGGCCCTGACAAACATTCTTACAGTGAAAATCTTTGTACACACCCATTTTAGGTTATATTCTTAGAAGTTAAACTCTTAGGTCAAAGGACATGCAAAATAAGACACACTGGCAAATCACTCTCTATAAATGTTGCTCTAGTTCATTTTTCCACCAACAGTGTGTGACAGTGACTATTCCTTGGATACAGGTCAACCCTTATAACATAAATTAGAAAAAAAAATTTAAACTAAAGGGGGCCAGCAAGTAGTGTGGTGGTTAGGGGTGCTGGACTCCCACATGGCCAATTGCAGTTCGAGTCCTGGACCTGGTGGCTTGCTCTTGCACTTTCCTTCTCTCTCTTACTCTGTTCCTCTCTGGTTAAACGAAAATAAACAAATGAATAAATAAATAAAATAAAGTTCAATAAGATAATTCTTAAAAAAAAGTTTTAAAAAGAGAAAAACAGGGTTGGCTCATGGCCTGATGGTTAAGGTGGCTGGAGTCCACATGGTTGACTATGTGGTTCAAGTCCTGGATCTGGAAGCTTGGGAAACACGCCTGACATGTGTGCATTCTTAAAATTCCTAAAGAAAGAATATGGAGAGGCTATAGTCTGATCGTTCTCCATTGGTGGGGAGAGGAGCTTTCTCTCTTTTCCTCTGTTTCCACCTCTCTTTGGCAAGCATACATAATCTCTAACAAATTTGTCGGTGGTGGAGGGAAAAACTTGCAGATCTATTTAACTAGTGAGACAGAGTTTTCATTAAAAACAATGTTGCACAATATTTTAAAAACGCTTTCTAGGGACCAGCAGTTAGTATAATGGCTATGTTGCTGGACTCCCACGTAGTCGATGATGGTTCAAGTCCTGGACCCGGTGGCTTAAACTCATGCCGGGCGTGTGTGTGTGCGTGCCCAAGATCCCGAGAGGAGAATGGAGGAGAAGGGATTGCGGTGAGGACATCCCCTCTGGGGGGGTGATTTCTCATTTTCTGACTCTTTGTCTATGTCTTTCTGGTGAGCACATGCGTCCTATAGCAAAAACATCTCCAAAATAAATAAATAAATAAAAAAGGCACTTGTGCCCACAGTATTCAATAATCTAGAACTTTATATACTTGGCTCATTCTCTTAATCCTCAGAAAAATAAACTAAAAATCAAAACAAAACAAACAAACAAAAAAACGCCGTCTAGAGAGCCAGCAGGAGGTGTGGTGGTTAAGGTGTCAGACTCCGACATGGTCTACCCCAGTAAGAGCCCTGGCCCCAAATTGAGTTGGGTCTGTGTGTGTGTGTGCCCAGAATCCTGAGAGAATGTATTGCAGTGTGGCCATCCCCTCTGGGGAGTGATTTCTCACTTTTCCTCTCTCTGGTGAGTACATGTGCCCTATGGTACCTCGCGGGTGGGTACAGGGGCCCGAGGGTAAACCCCTTTCCCCCCGCAAAAAAAAAAAAAAGCAAAGCATTGTAGAGCTGGTCCCATAGCATAGAGCTTAAGTGCTGTGTGAATGGAGTCAGATCTCACATGGCTAATCATAGCTTAAATCCCAGTCATGGAGGCCTGAAAACATGCTGGACTCATGTACATGCATGCTCCAAATCCTGATGGGATGGAGGAATAGAGGAAAAATGACTGCAGTGTGACCATGCCCCATTAGAAGGTGCTTTCTCTCTGGCTAGTGTACATGATCTCCGGGAATGAAAAAAAAACAAAACAAAAACAAACTTTTAGTGTTCAAAATAAACCAGATTCTCAGAGACATTAAGCCAAATTCTCAAGAAATTAACAGAGAATTTCAGCTTAATAACACAGATTCAAAGATAAGGGCCACCAGGAGGCATGCTGGTTAAAGCGGCTGGATCCCACATGCCCAACTGCCATTCGAGTCCCAGAACCTGCGCTTGAAAGTCACGTAGGGCACATGTGCATGCACACCCAAAATCCCTAGAGGAGAATGAAGGAGAAGGGATTGTTGTGTGGGCAACACCTCTGGGGAGTGATCTCTCACTTTCCCTGTCTCTGTGTCTTTTTCTGCCTCTCTCCGGTGAGTGCACATGCCCTGTGGGAAAACTCTTAGGAAAAAAAAAAAAAAGGCAAAGGGTAGCTTATTGTAAGGTATAAGATAATCAGTGCATACTTTCTTCATCTGGAAAACAAGTGTTTCAAAAGCACAGGCCATAAAGTCTGGTGCACCTGCTCCAAATACACTCAAGGCCTAGCCACCTCTGATACTTCACTTACAGATAGGAGTGGGAGGCTACAGTAACTTCCTGTGAAAGAAACACCTGGCCTAAATGTCACTTTGATCTATCTATTAACTATTTTTTTATCTGCCTTTCAAGTCACTACTCCCTAAGTGGTATATACAAAGAAGTTTATTGGAACCAGCAGATGGTGTAATGGTTATGTTGCTGGACTCCCACACAGTCAACTGCAGTTCGAGTCCCAAACCCAGAGGCTTAAAACTCATGCCAGGTGTATGTGCATGTGTGTCCAAAATCCCAAGAGGAGAATGGAGGAGAGGGGACTGCGACATGGCCATCCCCCTCAGGGTGTGTGTGTGTGTGTGTGTGTGTGTGTGTGTGTGTGTGTGTGTGATTTCTCGCTTTTGGTCTCTCTAGAGAGTGAACATGCCCTATAGGAAAAATCTCTCTCTCTAAAAAACAAGTTTATTCTGCAATAAGCTAATAGAACTAGGGCTATAGTCATTCTACTTTAAAACATCAAAACTTCAAAAAACTTGATCTAAGGGACCAGCAGTTAGCATAATGGCTATGTTGCTGGACTCCCATGTAGTTGACCGCAGTTTGAGCCCAGGACCCAGTGGCTTAAACTCATGCTGGGTGCATGTATGTGCATGCCCAAGATCCTGAGAGGAGAAGGAATTGCAGTGTGGCCATCCCCCCTGGGGGGTGATTTCTCACTTTCCGTCTCTCTGTCTCTCTCTTTGGGGTAAGTGTATGCACCCTGTAGGAAAAACCTCGCAAACAAACAAAAACAACAACAACAAAAAACCTTGATCTAAGGTTATCTGAATTAAGACTGCTTTGTACACCTTCTCAAAATGTATCTGAAAACACCGTAATTTTCATGGTACTGCTGTTCAGTTTCACTTGGTACCTGGCAACAGACAGGAATGTTGCCTTTAACTGAGCCTTAGTCAAAGGAGGTCTTAGGTTTTCCATGAGAAACTGACCTGTGAAATATGCCCTAAATCTATAAATCTGGTCTGAAACTCTGTCCTACCTCAATTGCTACACAAAAGCCACAAGACAGTTAGTTATTCAGTGACTTGAGACTCTACCCACCAATACTCTATCAATTCTGTTATTCCAGTGTAGATTATCCCCAGGAGTCTTTTTCAGGGTTTTTTTTTTTTTTTTCCCCTTTCTTGTTTTGCTTTCTTTCTGTTCATTCTACTACTCATGGGGAGTTCTACTACAGAACAGGCAGCTGAATGAGAACCTAAAATGCAAGTCCCTGACTAGGAAGTGGGCTCTCGATCTTTCAAGTCACATCATGCCCTGATTATCTTAGGTCACTTTCTAGATAATCCGGAACAAGTGAGTAAGTGTCTATTCCATCTAAATGGAAGGCTTGCTCTCAGACCAGTTCTATACCTGCTCTGAACCCTCCGTGTTCTCACCCGCAAGGGGCTAATAATACAATTTCGGGTCAGTATGATGATTCCATGTGTGTGCTGGACACGGTGTCTGGCATATCATAAGTAACCCGAGAGTACCAGCTGATGGTTATGAACAATGAAGGTGTCTTCTCTAGGCTTGATTTGCATTATGTAAATAGCTGCCAGCAGTTTAAATGGAAATTTATTTGTAACAGAACTCTGTCGATGCTGTTCTTTTTTTGTTTTGGAGAGGTTTTTGCCATAGGGCGTGTGCAATTGTCAGCCAGACAGAGACAGACAGAGAGAGAGACAGAAAGCGAGAAATCACCCCCCGGGGGGATGGCCACGCCGCAATCCCTTCTCCTCTAGGATCTTGGGCATGCACACACACGCGCCTGGCGGGAGTTTTAAGCCACTGGGTCCGGGATGCGAACCATGGTCGACTACGTGGGAGTCCAGAGACATAGCCATTATGCTAACTGCTGGTTCCGATGCTGTTCCTCATTACCTCAAAAAACTGAATGCTAATGTGTAGCAGTGTAATGTTCTAGACTTGTCCTCTTAAACTGCTAATTAATTTAGTCAGTGTCCCTAAACAATCCGTTCCAAATAGTTAAATGATCCCGTATGTCTCTTCTAGAACCTCTCTCTGAATTTCACTTGTTCTCCAACACAAGACTTTTCACCATAACAATTTGAAAACTGCACCTGTAGGTCATTTTTAATTATGATGGCAATGCAAACAAATCACACAAAATCCTGTACACACAAACAGAGCAGATAGCATTTTCATAGTGAACTGAACCATTTCAAATACTACTTCTCAAAAAAATATTGCCCCAATAACATTGAAAAACTTTTGTAGAGATATTAAAAGTTGTCTTACCACATTGCCTGCACAGACACAGGTTTGAAAATGTGAACTCTGTTATCTGTTGAAACGCTGAACCCACTAAGGACAAAAGAAAACAAGATAAAAATCCACAAATGAGGGTAGGTTATTTCAGCTGTAAAGTTTCAAGGTTGTTTCCCAGGCTAGCAACAGGTGGCTCAGTAGAAAGAATCATCAGGCACTTCATGTAGAAGTAAACCGCGGTAAAGGAGTTGACTGAAGAGTCCAATAAGCGGTCTGATTTTACCTAACAGGCAAAACGAGCAGACTCCCACACTGGAATTAGGGAATTACATATAGTTTCCCAGCTGCAGCTATGGACAAACTGTTTATTTCTATTTAGAAGTCTGTGGATTCTTAGCACACTGCCCGTGGTTTTATAAACTGGAGCAAACATCTTGGTCTCTTGGGTACACATTCTAATGACACCAGGAGGTGGGGGTGGGAGGGTCACTGGAAGGAACTGGCACAGGGAAGGGGTTCTACTGTAGGCTGACAGCTGGCAGAGGTGGCAAGAGGTCATTTGACACAGAACATCTCATCCTCGGGGAGAGCATTGCAACAGTCCCACATGCTCAGATTAAAGAGTGAGCCAACAAGCCAGCTCTTCCTTGTCTGGATTCCTACCATAGCCTAGAAAAACAGAAGTGAGAGACCCTGGCAAGTTATACTTTTACTCCACTTTACAAAACAGGAGTTTAAAAGAACCCATTGAGCTGCTGACATGACAGTGCAGTTGGGCACACTAGGCCGCCCATTCATCTTGATGAATGGGCACCAAGATGGAATCCCCCCTTTATCTTTCTGTAGGAGAATAAGAAGGGAACACTCTTACCCATCACCATCCAAATGAATGAGAGTGTCACTCCAGAGAGGCAGGACTAAGCCCATGGTACAAGTGCTACTGCAAGACAAGAAATAACCCATAAGTTACTTCCCCTCATTCTGAGAACCATTTCAAAACAAAATTATTTACTGAATTTTTAAAAAAAGAATCATTTAATTTTATTCACTCTTATTACTTTATTTATTTCTTTATTTGAAGTTGACTAGAGAGAGATAGAGACAGAGAGAGAGAGAGAAAGCAAGCTGGCAGGTCTAGGACTCAAACCAGAGTCAGCCATGTGAGAGTCCAGCTACCTTAACCACCATGCCACCCACTGGCCCCTATTTATTGAATTTAAAAATTTATATAATTATTAAAAAAAATCTGTTATAGGACATGTGCACTCACCAGAGAGAGACAAAGAATGAGAGAGAGGAAAAGAAAGAAAGTAGGCTGCCAAGTCTGGGATTCAAACCACCTTTGGTCATGTGGGAGTCTAATGCCTTAACCACCATGCCACCTGCTGGCCCCTAAGCTCTAAATCTGGCTTAAGTGATACAGTGGAGTAATCTCTGTCATATTACTGTTAATCCCATTTATGTCTTCAGGAGAGATTTTAAAGAGATGCTTAGTTGTTCATTCATTTATTTTTTAAAAAAGAATTATTTATTTAAGTTTTATTTATTCATTCACTTTTTTATTTTGATTTTTTGGGGGAGAGGTTTTTGCTATAGGGCACGTGTGCTTGCCAGAAAGAGACAGACAGAGAGACAGAAAGTGAGAAATCACCCCCAGGGGGCATGGCCACATGGCAATCCCCTCTCCTCCATTTTCCTCTTGGGATCTCTGGCACGCACACACATGTGCCCGGCATAAGTTTAACCCACTGGGTCCAGGACTTGAACTGCAGTCGACTACAAGAGAATCCAGCAATGTAGCCATTATACCATCTGCTGTTCCCTCATTCATTTATTTTTAATTTGAATATATATATATATATATATATGTAGAGAGAGAGAAAGTGAGAAAGCAAGCCACCAGGTCCAGGAATCAAACCATGGTTGCCCATGTGGGAGTGCCCAGCAACTTAACCACTTCACCACCTGCTGGCCCCCCATTTATTTATTTTATAAAGAGAACATACTGACAGTTCCCTGTATTGCAAATGCCCACTACCTAAAAAAATCCAGGAGATAGATGCTGACTTGCAGTTGACAGGCCTTAGCCCAGGGTACAGCATCTGATGTGTACTCTAAGGATTATTTACTTTAGAATTTTCTACTTAATTTTATTTATCATCATTATTACTATTACTTTTAATTTTCCATAGGGCACATGTGCTCACTAGAGAAAGAAAGAAAGTGGGAAATCAAGCTACCAGGTCCAGGACTTGAACTGCCATGTGGGAGTCCAGCGCCCCAACCACTACGACACCTGCTGGCCACAGGATTATTTATTTATTTTTTCTATAGGGCATGTGCACTCATCAGAGACAGAGACGGGGGAGGGAGGTAAGAAAGCACTCCCTACCCTGCCGGGGGATGGTCAATCGCAATCCCTTCTTTGCTGTTTTCCTCTGGGGTTTTGGGCAAGCCCCCATATGTGCCTGATGTGTTTTTCAAGCCACCGGTTTAGGAATCAAACTGGACCGTCAGTCAGGGGGAATCCAGCCACCTTAACCACCATGCCCCCAGCTGGCCCAAGGATTATATCTAAGGCCAAGAACAACTGTAGGTTGCTAAGGCACTGGGAATATGTGATTTGTTCTGTAAGTTAACGGGACTGGTTGGTACAGGAAGCCATGAACTCCAGATAGGGTGCTCTCTGGCAGCACTTCTCTGGCCACCTGTAATCTACCCTTGGCTTCAGCTACTTTCTCTTCTTAAGGGTGTCATAAATCATTTCTCTCATCTGGCCAGTCTCCCAAAGGCTCCAATTCCCACTCCCCATCACTGTACCTAGAGAGGGAGAAGTATAAAGAACCTTGTGTGTGGGAGGTCGAGCAATGCCGTATGGTTAAGTCTATGGGCTCTGGAGTCAGATGGGCGCTGGAATAGGGTTTTGGCACTAACTATATAATCCTAGGTGTATTATTTATTAGCTTTGTGCACTGTTTTCTTCATCTGTAGAACCAGGATACAAATGCCTTTTATTTTAATTGTGTTATTCTGAAGATAAAATTAGGTAACACACACATAAAATTGTATATTAGTGCCTAAAATAGTAATAATAACTACCATTTATCCTCTATATCAAGTGGCATTTATCCGCTATCCCAAAAGATCTGAATTTGACCTTCTTAAGTATTAGAACTCCTTTCATCAAGTTATTTAACCCCTCAACCTTAATTTCTTCATTTTAAAATGCAGATAAATAACATCCACTTTCATAGGGTTATTATAAATACTGAAAATATTTAAAGTAAAATAACATATGTGAATGTACTGTCCTGAACACAAATGTTGACTATGAATCTGTAGTGCTATAAAATATTTGAAGGTGATGGGGGTGGAGTGGGAGAAATGAGCAAATGCTTGAAAAACAGCACAAGAAATACCAAGCTCTAACTGTTGGAGGTACGGCAGGGCTAAGGCCCAGCTCCAGTTGAGTTTTTTAATTTTTTAAATGATTTTATTTATCTTTATTTATTTTAATTTGACCAGACAGGGAGGGAGAGAGGGAGAGAGAGAGAGAGGGAAGGAGAGAGGAAGTGAGAAAGTAAGCTGCTGGGTCTGGGACTCGAACCATGGCTGGCCAGGTGGGAGTCCAGTGCTATTAACCACAATGCCACCTGTCCCAAGTTTTTCATTGTACTTGCTGGTCTGTGTCACTCAACATCCTTCTAGTGATCACACAGCTCAGTAGATCTGAATCAAGACTAAACAGTGTATCCAGACTGGAACCCTGGGCCTGCATACTAGAGGCACAGTTACCATGCCAGAGTCCAGGGGTGAGTAAGGTACTCTACCACAGATTTTGTTGAGTAAATGAAGTGAGTATACATCTGTTTGGAAATAGTTTTCCGAAGTCGAGTGGGATTATAGCCCAATGACAAATACAGAAATTAAGTAACTATAAAAGATACAGAAATTCTGGAAGAGTATATCAGTAAGTTTGTGACCAGATGCCAGTTAACCTTTGGAAGGTGATAAGATTATGTAGGAACTAACATCACATTTCTCAGCTTCTATTTAGGTCAAAATGCTTTTATATATTTTTATTTTGGAGAGGTTTTCGCTATAGGGTGCGTGCGCTCGCCAGCCAGCCAGAGAGAGACATAGAGACAGAAAGTGAGAAATCACCCCCCAGGGGGGATGGTCACGCCACAATCCCTTCTCCTCCATTCTCCTCTCAGGATCTTGGGCACGCACGCACACGCGCCTGGCGTGAGTTTTAAGCCACCAGGACCGGGACGTGAACCGCGGTCGACTACATGGGAGTCCAGCGACATAGCCATTATGCTAACTGCTGGTTCCCAAAATGCTTTTATAATTAAGAAATAGCTTTATCACACAGCTGGAGAAGCAGCCTGAATTAGGCATACCTGGTATTTTATCCAGTTTACCCGAGTCTCATGAGATTTTTCTCAGCATAGCTACCTATTTTAGTAGCTACTCATCCCCTTCAATAAATATTTATACAGTGTCTACTATGTACCTGGCAATTCCAGGCGTTAAGGGTACAAAGAGAAAAAGAAAAAAAAAAGCATAAAAGTATATTTTATAACTTTAAATATATGTCCAGTCCATTTTGGAAACCAGGGTTATGCTGTATATTTAAAATTTTATTACTTAAGGGTCCAGCAGGTGGCATGGTGGTTAAGGGTACTGGACTCCCACATGGCCGACTGTGGTTTGGGTCCTGGACGTGGCGGCTTGCTTTCTCACTTTCCCTCTCTCTCGTTCTCTCTCACTCTGTCCCTCTCTGGTCAAATTAAAAAATAAATAAATAAAGTTGAATAAAATAATTATAAAAAATGTTTATTACTTAAAATATAACACGATATGCAAAGAACTTGTAAATAGGCCAAATGAATCGGCTGTGACGTATCTTAAGAACTAATTGTTCTTGTCATAAATCACCTTGGTTCCACTGAGGCTTAATACTGTTGAAACATTAACATTTTATATTATCATATACCAAACTACACAAATTCCTTCAACAGCATCTGAGATGGCAATACCAAATTACCTGACGGTTTTGGGCAAGCCCCCATATGTGCCTGATGTGTTTTTCAAGCCACCGGTTTAGGAATCAAACTGGACCGTCAGTCAGGGGGAATCCAGCCACCTTAACCACCATGCCCCCAGCTGGCCCAAGGATTATATCTAAGGCCAAGAACAACTGTAGGTTGCTAAGGCACTGGGAATATGTGATTTGTTCTGTAAGTTAACGGGACTGGTTGGTACAGGAAGCCATGAACTCCAGATAGGGTGCTCTCTGGCAGCACTTCTCTGGCCACCTGTAATCTACCCTTGGCTTCAGCTACTTTCTCTTCTTAAGGGTGTCATAAATCATTTCTCTCATCTGGCCAGTCTCCCAAAGGCTCCAATTCCCACTCCCCATCACTGTACCTAGAGAGGGAGAAGTATAAAGAACCTTGTGTGTGGGAGGTCGAGCAATGCCGTATGGTTAAGTCTATGGGCTCTGGAGTCAGATGGGCGCTGGAATAGGGTTTTGGCACTAACTATATAATCCTAGGTGTATTATTTATTAGCTTTGTGCACTGTTTTCTTCATCTGTAGAACCAGGATACAAATGCCTTTTATTTTAATTGTGTTATTCTGAAGATAAAATTAGGTAACACACACATAAAATTGTATATTAGTGCCTAAAATAGTAATAATAACTACCATTTATCCTCTATATCAAGTGGCATTTATCCGCTATCCCAAAAGATCTGAATTTGACCTTCTTAAGTATTAGAACTCCTTTCATCAAGTTATTTAACCCCTCAACCTTAATTTCTTCATTTTAAAATGCAGATAAATAACATCCACTTTCATAGGGTTATTATAAATACTGAAAATATTTAAAGTAAAATAACATATGTGAATGTACTGTCCTGAACACAAATGTTGACTATGAATCTGTAGTGCTATAAAATATTTGAAGGTGATGGGGGTGGAGTGGGAGAAATGAGCAAATGCTTGAAAAACAGCACAAGAAATACCAAGCTCTAACTGTTGGAGGTACGGCAGGGCTAAGGCCCAGCTCCAGTTGAGTTTTTTAATTTTTTAAATGATTTTATTTATCTTTATTTATTTTAATTTGACCAGACAGGGAGGGAGAGAGGGAGAGAGAGAGAGAGGGAAGGAGAGAGGAAGTGAGAAAGTAAGCTGCTGGGTCTGGGACTCGAACCATGGCTGGCCAGGTGGGAGTCCAGTGCTATTAACCACAATGCCACCTGTCCCAAGTTTTTCATTGTACTTGCTGGTCTGTGTCACTCAACATCCTTCTAGTGATCACACAGCTCAGTAGATCTGAATCAAGACTAAACAGTGTATCCAGACTGGAACCCTGGGCCTGCATACTAGAGGCACAGTTACCATGCCAGAGTCCAGGGGTGAGTAAGGTACTCTACCACAGATTTTGTTGAGTAAATGAAGTGAGTATACATCTGTTTGGAAATAGTTTTCCGAAGTCGAGTGGGATTATAGCCCAATGACAAATACAGAAATTAAGTAACTATAAAAGATACAGAAATTCTGGAAGAGTATATCAGTAAGTTTGTGACCAGATGCCAGTTAACCTTTGGAAGGTGATAAGATTATGTAGGAACTAACATCACATTTCTCAGCTTCTATTTAGGTCAAAATGCTTTTATATATTTTTATTTTGGAGAGGTTTTCGCTATAGGGTGCGTGCGCTCGCCAGCCAGCCAGAGAGAGACATAGAGACAGAAAGTGAGAAATCACCCCCCAGGGGGGATGGTCACGCCACAATCCCTTCTCCTCCATTCTCCTCTCAGGATCTTGGGCACGCACGCACACGCGCCTGGCGTGAGTTTTAAGCCACCAGGACCGGGACGTGAACCGCGGTCGACTACATGGGAGTCCAGCGACATAGCCATTATGCTAACTGCTGGTTCCCAAAATGCTTTTATAATTAAGAAATAGCTTTATCACACAGCTGGAGAAGCAGCCTGAATTAGGCATACCTGGTATTTTATCCAGTTTACCCGAGTCTCATGAGATTTTTCTCAGCATAGCTACCTATTTTAGTAGCTACTCATCCCCTTCAATAAATATTTATACAGTGTCTACTATGTACCTGGCAATTCCAGGCGTTAAGGGTACAAAGAGAAAAAGAAAAAAAAAAGCATAAAAGTATATTTTATAACTTTAAATATATGTCCAGTCCATTTTGGAAACCAGGGTTATGCTGTATATTTAAAATTTTATTACTTAAGGGTCCAGCAGGTGGCATGGTGGTTAAGGGTACTGGACTCCCACATGGCCGACTGTGGTTTGGGTCCTGGACGTGGCGGCTTTGTTTTTCCCTTTCCCTCTCTCTCGTTCTCTCTCACTCTGTCCCTCTCTGGTCAAATTAAAAAATAAATAAATAAAGTTGAATAAAATAATTATAAAAAATGTTTATTACTTAAAATATAACACGATATGCAAAGAACTTGTAAATAGGCCAAATGAATCGGCTGTGACGTATCTTAAGAACTAATTGTTCTTGTCATAAATCACCTTGGTTCCACTGAGGCTTAATACTGTTGAAACATTAACATTTTATATTATCATATACCAAACTACACAAATTCCTTCAACAGCATCTGAGATGGCAATACCAAATTACCTGACTATCTGTATTCTGAAGTGGCCAGCATTTCTCTTACTGTCCAAGAGTTCATTCTATTGGGTTGTCGGAAAAGTCCTGACATATTTTTGCATAGAAAAACATGAAAAAATACTTCATGGCTTTCAGATGACCTTATAGTAGAGGATGGCTGGGAATTTAATAACATTTAAATGTATCAGGGCCAGCAGGTGGCGTAGAGGTTAAGGGCACTGGACTTCCACATGGCTGACCTTGGTTCAAATCCTAGACCTGGTGGCTTGCTTTCTCACTTTTTGTCTCTCTGTTATTCTGTCGCTCTCTGGTCAAATTAAAATAAATAAATAAAATTAACTGAAATAATTCTTTAAAAAAAAACATTTAAATGTATCAGACTGGATAAAAATTAGTTTCTAGCTTTTTATGTCTCACTTGGTCTTCTACAAACTAAAATCTCTGCTTGTTAGTAGCACTTATCAGACATGATTCAGGCGGGGCTATTATGAAAGACAGAGACAGTTCACTGAGGATAAATTACTGAGCTCCGTAGCAATAAACATTCATTTTGGCAAAGTGTAGGACAGACTGAAAGAGAGAGGCTTAGACATTTGATTGCTCACGCTCTGGGTCAAGAGAATCTGCAACTATTGCCTTCTGCCTCTAGGGAAAG